TACTAACATGTCTATTTATAACCCCAGGAGTAAACGTAGGCACAATACATAATTACTCAATATTTACAGCCCCGCGGGGCTTTGCCCCCGCACCCCAACCCATGAAAATTCCCAATTTGGACAGATTCTTCAGCTCCGCTCCGCTCTGCTCCGTTTCGATCCAGCATCTGTCCCGATATGGTATATGAGTCATACCATAACAATATGTATGTATGTGTGTGTGTGTGTGTGTGTGTGTATAATAGCTTCAAAGATCAGTCAAGGTTTGAAATTGCATTATTAAATATTGAGACGTTTCTATGAGTAAAAACATCAAGTCATGAACTGTTTCGAAGTAATTTAAAAAATGTGAAATAATAATTAATGTACAAACATCAAAGTAATTTCATAAAAAAAATTTCTCCTATTATTAATTCAACATAAACAAGTAGTCTAAGTTTATAAGATTATAATTTATGGAATTAAAAGTCTTCCTACTCTCATCAACTAGATCTTCATTAGAAACTTCATTATAGTGAGTCCTTTCTCTTCTCCCTTGTCCTCAGCGGCAATTGATATTCCAAGCGGTGTCGGATGTAAGTGCAACATGGAGCTAGGAGTGAAGGGACCCAGGCAATTTAAAATCTTGATTTTGTTTGTTTTAGGATTAGGTGCAGAAAAATAATAAAAAAAGATTTATTTACATATTAAATTTATAAATGAAAATATAAAAAAAATTTTAAATCCTAATTTTTTAGGCTTGTATCTAACAAATTATGCACCTGTGCAACATGAGGTGCCTCAATCTAACTGAGACAAATGCCTCATCAGATCAAGGTGAGGTGTATGAATCAAGGCTTTTTTACATATTTGTGTTGAGGCAATCCTTAAGACACGTCTCTTACAGTGCAATTTTAAACAATGAAATCAATTAAGATACCAAAAAAGATATTTATGCATAAATAAAGACAGTATAACACAAAAGATTCAACAGAGATGAAACCCATTTCATGATGCTCGAGTGCTAGAAGCATAATTAGAAAAGTTAGCTTCGATGAAAACAATTTCAAGATGTCTGGAAGTAAAAGACAAAATGATAAATATACATTTTTGCTTGGAAATAAATGTTTTCTTATGTAAATTAAGCCAAGCTAGGTAAAAATCTCACCAAAAAACAAAAAAACAAAAAAAAAACAAAAAATGAATAACCAAAAGAATAATTATGATCTACCAGAAATCAATTCGGTTCATTTACCTTATCGGCCTGGGAAAATCAGAAGGTAGCAAAAGAGATATAACAAAAAATAACAGTAACATTAGCTAAGTTACAGTTCCCTACCAAACAGCAACTTTCATTTGCAACATTTGATTTGATTTTTTTTTTTTTTAATCCATCAAACGATGCCTCAATTTGCCTGCCAATCTCGAGATATGTTTCAAGAAGGAAAGAAAACACTGCAGTTTTAGCTACTACACAAAAACAAAGCTTATCGGATAAGAGATTAAACATACAAAACGAAGCTTGATAATAAAAATGTCAAATAGGAATACGATTCACGCCAGCCTCGAAAAGAAAATAAGATCAGCGCAAGATGTGATGAGAAGATCTATAACCCGTCGAAATATTAAAAATCCTCAGTTATTTTTTCCAATTGCCAACTGAGTTGTAATTCACCCTAAATGCGGAGAGAGAATCGGGTAACGCAAGAGATACCTTCAGTTGACGAAGAGACCCTGACCTGGCCTGTGGAGAATAACCTCGCCTCCTATAATGTGCACAGAGAAGAGTGCAATGCACCGAGATGTCAACTAAAAGAACACACAAATGGAAGAGATTGAACAGCGTCACGGCCATTTTAGCTTCGATGTATTCAATGAATGGACGGTTGTGTGAAGGCGAAGGGGTGGACGAGAGCATTAAGGGAGAAGAAACTGCATCTTCGGTTTCGGCTTCTTGATTTGAAAGGTTGGAGTAGGAGAAACAGAGCAGTGCCACTGGGTGTGGGAGGATGAGAGGCGGAGATGAAGGGACGAAGATGGGGGAAGGTATTTGAAGGGTCGAATTGGGGGGAGAAATCGAGCGGTGGAGATTTAATTCTGTTGATCGCAAATTATGTAGGATGTATGTATTGTAGCCTAATTGTTTTCTAAGTATTTATTTTAGGTTTTTCAATTAATATTAATCTTCAAAATAATCGATGCCAAGATATGGCGTATTTGTAATTTAAAGATGGACATAGAAAACTTATGAAAAAAAAATCGTTAAAATGCCCGATTAAATTATTAATATAATATATTGGCTTAAAACAAAAAATATAATATAATTAAAAGATTTTATTTAATTTAAATAAAATATGATTAAATTTTAATTAAAATAAGATTATTTTTATATTATTTAAATTAATGAAATTCACTTGAGTTTATATTAATTAAAAAAAAACTAATGATATATATATATATAATTTAATATAAAGGTTTATTCTTTTAGCCTTCACGTGAAAGCTAAATTGTATATATTTTTTCTTTCTTTCATTCTTTTAGTCCCATTTCAGGAAGAGACAAGATACAATCCTTTTATTAAAAAGATAAAACATATTTGCATGTGGGGGTGTAAACGAACCGAACATGAACGAACAATGCTCGTGTTCGTGTTCAGTTAGTTTGAAATATAGTTTGTTTGAAATAGGCTCGTTCGAAATTGTTCGTGAAAGGTCTGTTCGTGTTCGGTTCAATTTGTTCGAAATTAGTTTGAATTGTTTGAATCGTTTGAATATGTTTGAAATGTTTGAAGTGTTCGAATTGTTCAAAACAACAGTGCTCGTGTTCGTATTCGGTTCGTTTGAAATATAGTTTGTTTGAAATAGACTCGTGTTCAAAATTGTTCATGAAATGCATGTTCGTGTTCGGTTTGATTTGCTCGAAATTAGTTCAAATTGTTCGAATTATTTGGATATGTTTGAAATGTTTGAAGTGTTCTGAATGTTCGAATTGTTCGAAAAGTTCAAAAATTTTCAATTTTTTTTATATTTTTTGAATTGTTAAATAGACAAAAAAATTAAATATTAATTCTCATATCACATCAAAAAATGCCACCATTTTAACTTTTAAAAATTGAAATAACTCTAAATAAAATATATAAGAATTATTAATTAATTCTCAAATTACCAAAAACAATAAATAAAAAACGTCAACAATAACATCTCTTCATCATTAGTCAAATAAATAATATCTTACATAAAAAGATAATGTTCAAATTATAAATTAAGTTCAATTCTCAGAGCTCTGTGAATTTGAAATCAAATTTTAAATTGTAAATTTAGTTTGCATTCACTTCTCTCAATCTCCTATACACATATTTACTAATTACTACAACTATAATAAATTTTACTCCACATTGGGATGGAAGACTCAAATGGCATCCTCTGGATTAATTCCTGGAGCTCAACCATGAATCCATGCTTGCCCAAAAGCTCTGTCTGTAAGAAAATGAACAAACCAACTTCAGCTTCAAGCAAATGTAAATGTCTAATACAAATACATGCATGTTAAGGCCTTACGGGTAAAGAGAAGTCTCTTTTATAATTTCTTTCCAAAACATCATCAAGTCTGCAATTGAAGTGCCCAGCTAGGCAAGTATCTAAAGCAAAGAAATATTCTAGTTAAGAGACAACAAAAAAAAATCCAAACCATCAAATAAAACCAACATTATGACTTAGATAAGGAAAGTTCTTATATGTACAAGTAGACAAAAAAAATCACTTAGCTACAGATGGCTCCTTCAAGATTCATTTTGTACCATGAGATACAATTTTTTATGCATAAATAATAAGATACCACATATAACGACGTGTTATCTTGAAGCTACTCACCCATATAAGCTCTTCCAAAGATTCTACTTCTTTCGTAGCAAAAAAGGCTAGTTGCATGTATAGATAGATGAAAAAGAAAATGAGTTTAACTTTCACAAAGTTTTCATAAATATTATTTATACTTAGTACTTCCCTGCCAAACTTCAACATGCATAAGTCATTTCCGGCATCATAATTAAAGGCATTAATATTGCACCCAAATAGATTATAGAAATAAAATTAATCAGCCTTAATCAGTTTATCCACTAGAAATAGAGCCACCATAGTTCTGCTCTTCCTGCAAGGTTGCACCAAATCAAAGCAATCAAATGAACCTTAGCAGAACTACAAGTTTAGCTTTAAATGTCATTTTCCATTGATTAATAACTGTATACAAAATTGGTGATGTACTGTTTAGAAACAGAACTAAATTTGGCCTCATATTATAGTGTGGTAAGTTCAAAGATGCACCAAGAACTAAATCAATTTGATGTTGAAATGGCCGTATGAGTAGAAGTTGGCTAGGCAATTTGAATGGGGGCAATATCTTCAAATAGTTTTAACAATTACTGCATTTCAGAAGGTATTCATTATTACTTGTATTTTGCTATGAGAATAAGAAAGCAAAAACTACAGAATCTTCCTTCCAGTTTGAAACAAATCGTGAACCAGGAACAAACAAAAAAGTTGTGTTATAATGTTGTTCCCAGAATTTACTATTAGTGGGCACATTTAAAGAAAACCAACAAAGATAACATTAAAACTAATTGTTATAAATCATGCACATTTAAAATTAACTAATTGTTATAATTTGATATACATGACTGAAATCAAAAATATTAAAGCTCATGCAGACAAACAACCCATTTAAAGAAGACCAACAAAGATAGCTTTCAAACTAATTGTCATAAATCATACACATTTTAAATTAATCAAATAGATTAACTAAAAATAAAATCAATATCAATTTAATCATTCGCCATACAAATAATTTCATTTGATGAGTAATAAAAAATTGTATTATCTAACAGCTTGAGCAATAGAAAATGAAAACAAAATCTTAACTAGATTTATTAATCCTCTTTGAAAATAAGAAAAACTGAAATAGAAGGAAAATTCTAATGTAAGTGAAACTTAGAATTTATTAAAATCAAAAGTGGAATCATATTGTAACAATAACTTATCTTCTAGATCAAAAACATGCAACATAATAAAATAAAGCCAAAATTAATATTTAGACATAAAACTGGAAAAAACTTGCATTATAGCTAAATACAATTGCAATAATTTACTAAACAATTGAGCTTATAACACTAACTTTGATTTAGAACATTCAACCATGTATATATTAGAATGTTTCAGTATTTAAAATAATCCTCCAAATTATTCCACATAAAAAAATTCCTTAAGATCACACCAACATTGATTGTAGGAACATAAAATTGAAACTTATGAACAGTTCGTTTTTGTTTAGTACAATACAAACAAGATTTCAGTAGAAGTGCATCCTTTATTATGATTTTTTTAATTAGCAATACAAATGAACTTTATTATTAAGTTTAATATACAATAGCTGTAAATAAAAAAAAAATCTTTAAAATGACTGAAAACAGAAATAGGATGGCAACTCACTCTGAATAATATCTGTAAAGCTTCAGAAATTCGTTGCTGAGAAGAACGATTCAGTCCCCCCAATGGATTTACAAAAATAACAATATAATTTCAATGACATATATGAAAGAAGCAGCAATGAGATTTCAAATGTTTAGTAGTTAAGAAGAAATAAACCTAAAAAATACTCAGAGATGAAGCCTAACTTTCACTCAAAAAACCTAGGTTTCACTCAAAAAATAAGACAAACAGATGGATTTAACCTAGGTTTCACTCAAAAATCCTAGGTTTCACTCAAAGAAATAAACCTATAGTCAATATGAAGACAAACAGATCTACATTTAACCTAGGTTTCACTCAAAAAAGAAGAAATAAACCTAAAAAAAATTATGAAAATTTAACCTAAGAGGCAAGCATGAAGATAAACATGAAATGTTAAAGAAAATATGCTAAAAAATGCCGTTTCGGTGGC